ACTAGGCATTTTGTAAAAAAAACAAAGCGAGAATGTTGCATCCAATGGAATAGGAATATCAATTAGTACACAAGTAACTAGTTGACTCTGTAGTTCTCTATGTGACGGAAAAACGGTGGTAAGGCGATTGTAAAGAACACATGTTACTTCTTGCTGCCATAGCCTTAGTGCCATTCTTAGACCATATAATGCTTTGTATAGCATCCAGCACTCATTCAAAATTTCAAATCCTGGCGGGCAACGTATGTATACCTCGCTTTATAGGATTGAGTTCAAAAATACATTGACCACGTCTCTTTGTTTCATATCGAGGTCGAATGCTACCACGAGTGCAAAGATAGCTCTCGCGGTTTTGACTACTAGTATAGCAGCTCTTTTCTCGTCTATTATCATCCATTAAAGATCTCCTCGTACACAGATCCGCGCTTTAAACTTTTCAAGCATACCATCTGTATTAAATTTGTATATAAAAACCCACTTTAGGGGTAGTATCTGTATGCCTTTTGTGTTCGGTATTGGGACCTAAGAGAAGGTTTCTTTTCTTTATAGGGTTTTAATCTTAAATTCTGCTACTGCTTTAAATTCTTTTGTATAAGTATGGTTTTTCAATTCCGCCCAATTTTGTGGCGGTGGAGGAAGCTGATCTTTGTAAGGTCTTTCTTTTCTTTTAAACCTCTTATTTATCCCAGTTAAGAATATATGAATTAATTTAGGCGGCTCTTCTTCTTCCAGTATTATATATATCTTATAATTTATCTATTCCCTGTTCCTTCTAGATCTAGTCCTAGTAATAATATTGGTAGGGTCGATTCTATCTGATCTCGGTCTCCTATAATCTAGCTAGGCTAATAAGGATCGAGATAATAATATCTCTTCATTCTATGGTATTGGGGTCTATTTAAGCTTACGTTATAGTTAAAGCTCACTTTCTAAGATAGGATTATTATAATTATTCTTATCTCCTATTTGTACCTCCCCCTTAGATTCGATCGATAGTATAACTGAGATAGGATCTAGTATTATTAAGATAGCATTTCTTGCCTATCTCTATGTTTCTAACGATAATAATAATGGAATTGGTCTTAGTAATAGTGATATTAATAGAAATAAAGGTTGGTTTAATAATCTTGATAAATTTAGTAATAAAGCTTATAAAGGTAGTAATATTAGTAAAGGGATATCTACTAGGAAGGATCCTAGTATATACTCTCTTACCTAATCCCTTAGTTTATTTGATATTAGGGTCGGTAGTAGATTAGATGATTCCTTTTATATAGTAATAGGTATTTACTATCTCCTATTTTCTTCTTATTATAACTCTCTCTTTCTATTATCTCTCTGTTAATTATTATTATGATTATCTTAACAATTATCCTTATTATTAACTTATTAGTTATCCCTATATAGATTAATACCTTACTAGGTATACTTAGTATTATTATAGAGAGCTATTCTAGTAACTAATAGTAGTATTTATATCTGACTTCCTAGCTTAGCCTAAGCTTAGTCTATTATTAGTACTATAGGCTAGTATATTTTCTCTATACTATCGGTAATTATACTAATTATATCTTTAAATTCTAGCTTCTCTAACGATTTATATTATTAAGATTTATCGAATATAGTATCCCTTATAATATTAACTCTTCTATTCTTACTACCTTTATATAGGAACTAAATTCTATATAGGTTCTTCGATATATATCCTACTAGATAGCTAATTTCTATACGAGGTACTATTTTTTCAGATTAGATATATTTAGAATTAATAATTTATAAGTATACTAAGTATCTATATACCCTAAGGTTTAATAGATTAATCCTTTAGTACTTAATCCTATTAGGTATAGTAAGTTTCATAAGTTCTAACTATAGTATAACCTATTAGTTTTTAATCTTTATTAGTACCCTATTTATAATATATACTACTATATATACCGCTTCTATCTATATGGTTTTTAGAAGATTAGTATTATTAATAAAGGTTCTTACTATTTTAATAATTACCCCTCCTAATCTCTCTATAGGGCTATTTATTTCTAGTAGGTCTAGTAGTAAGTATTTAATAATATACCCTTTAGCTTTAATTATATTTTCTACCTTATTACCTATACTCTATTTATTATTATAGTAGAAAACTCTAATCCTAATATTTAGCTAATTCTTAACTAAAGTAATAAATTTCTTAACTACTATTTAACAGTCGTTTTTCTTAATATATATAAATATAAAGTAGTACTTAATTCTATTAAGGTAAAAATATATTAACTAAATATATCTATTCTATACTAGCTAATTCTATACTAGATCGAAATATATATATCCTAGTATACTATAGGTTATACCGATTCTTCTTTAAGATATCTACTTTAGTATATCTACTAGCTAGTAAGCTTTATATACCTAATTCTTAGGGTTACTTCTAGTAATTATTATACCTTCTATTATCTTAGAGAGTTTTTTAATTCTCTTTTTTCTAATATAGCCTAGTTATCTATACTATATTTTAAGTAAGGCTTTAGATTTTAGTTCTTTTTCTAATCTTTTTAATATAGTAAGTACTAATAAACCATTTTTTATTTTAGGGATTTTAAACCTTAACTAAAAACCTAGTAGTTAAAATAACTATAAGAGATTCTATTCCTTATATATTTTATATAATAGGGTTCCGTTCTTCTTAATCTAGTTCTTTTTAAAATTTAGGAAAGTACCGGTCTTCTTAAATATAAGGTTATAAGTAATAAGGTTTATATAGAAATTTAGAGAGTACTTAGTATTATATAAAGTCATTTTCTTTATCTAATTAGTAACTAGATTAATACTATTAATTTCGACTTTTCTAATTCTAGTAACTATTAAGGTTATATTACTAATCTTAATTATACTCTTAGTTTCTTCGAAGGTAATAAAGAGGTTATAATCGTTATAAATATAAACTTATATACCTATATTAACTAGCTATCTTTTATTTATTAGTATAGTCTTATAGGTTTAGAAGATAGTGTCTAGTATTTCTTCTTCTATTATAAAAAATCCTAGTTCTTTACTTTATATTATAGTATTTACTTACTAACTTCTATTCTTTTTAGATACTATTCCTAATTCTTTATATCTTTTATTAATAAATACTTTCTATATAGGATCCTCTTTTATTACTTTATCCTAGGCCTTCTTATATTCTAGGTCTTAGGTATACCCTTCTAAAATAAGATCTAAGTAGGCTCCCTAGTATTTCTATACTAGGTAGTTATATTTACTACTATATCTATAGGGATATTTTCTCCTAAAGAATAGTATATTATTTATAGATTTAGCTTATTTACTATTTCTAGTTCTACTATTCTTATTAGTAAATACTAGCTAGGCTTCTTAATATCCTTACTAGGTTAAGAAAACGGCTTTTAATATACCTTTTTATATAGCTTATCTACTAATAGTACTATCCTATTAAGTCTTATAGTAAAATAATAGCTTACTAAACTTAATAGTTCTTTCTTATTATATCTTTTCTTAGGATAGACTTTATTATATATCTCTAAGTCTTATAGTAAAGAATTCTAGTAAGATAGTTATAATTACTTATAGGAACTATATCGCTATATCTTTTACTTTACTAACTTTAGCTATAATATAATAAGTATATAGAGTTTCCTATTTTAGTAACTATTTTTCGATATTTATATTCTAGTCTAGACCTTAGTCTAGATTATTCTATTCTACTCTTAGATTTAATCTATATATAGGGTTATACTTAGGAGTATAGCGCTATTATAAGTTTTAAAGTAGTACCTAAGGAGAATCCTAAGTTAGGAATACCTAATAAGATAGGAGAATATTTAATTTAATAGTATTTACTACTATATTAAATCCTTAGAGATCCCTATTATAGGTAGTCTTCTTTTCTTAGTATTTACTATTTAGAATATTAAAGATATTATACTAGTTATTTCTATACTCCTTCTTAATATCTTCCTATTTTAGTATAATTAGTATAACCGGTTAATCTAGTTCCTTTTCTAGTTTAGGGTTATAATAATCCTAAATATTATATATTTAAGTAATAGCCTAAATAGTTGTAAGCTATAGTACCTAATTAGTCGAATCCTTTAAAATTACGCGAGAAGGTATTATAGAGAGAGGATAATAGTCTACTATAATATCTGAATTATAGTCCTAAACGAATTCTAATTATGATTAGTTATTATTACTTTTAGGGTTGAGTCTTATTTTTAGGGATATCCCGATACGTGGCTAGGTATCTTAATGTTAACTAAATAGTGTATTTAAAATGGGATAAAAGGTTAAAAAATTGTAAGAGTTAAGTTTAAAGCGATTCTAGGCTTATAACTAACGGAAAAACGGTAGTAAGGCGATTGTATATATAGTAGAAAAATCTTAATAAATTCTCTAACTCTCTAAAAATGATAATAGTCCTAAAATATGACAATCTTATGGATAACTTAGTAATCAAAATAAATAAAACAAAAATGAAAGGATGTTTTTCAGGCGAAAAACTACGGGACTGGTTTTTCGGGCGAAAAACCACCTGAGTTGGTTTTTCTGCAGAAATACCAGCCTGGTCAGTCATGTGACCTAACTGTATCAGGAATGAAAAATAACAGTATTCATCCTAGATTCTGACACTATGTACTATAGGTCATGTGCCAAGACCCGGGATGTCCCAACCACAGACATCTCATCTTCGTATCTTTATATCTTCCTCACCTCCATAGCAACATACAAATGCTACCATTCTTTGCTTCAAAGTCATTTCAATATATCCAAATGATCTTGCCTACAATCACACCGGAAATTCAAACTATGATTCAATAACATTGGCTTGACCTTGACATACAGGACATACAGACATTACCCAAGTCTCTAGATCTCATTGATCTGACTCTTCTGAATCCAGAATACTCCCTTAGTTGATACATCTGAGCCCAATCGCCCCCAAATAAAACTCAGGACATTCCAAGCGGGATATAGTGCAGACAAAAATGCCGACACTCGCCTTGATCAACTTCAACATCGTCTGCGCGACGCTCGGAGGGTTTGTTTCCCTATTCGGACTAGTATCCTACCTTTGCAAGGAGCAGTTCTACCTATCCGAAGCATGTAAGTGTTAAGTCATCCTGGTATCACCACATTTGCTAACATGAAATAGTAATCTCCCTGCTAGCCGGAGTGTTATTCTCTCCCCATGCAGCCAATTTCATCAGACCGGATGACTATGCACTCCATTCTGAAGAAAACCTCGAGGTAATCACTTTGCATTTTACCCGCTTAGTGCTAGGTGTGCAGCTGGTCCTAGCCGGAGTCCAACTCCCAAAGCGGTATCTGCAGATCGAATGGCGGAGCCTAGGGCTACTCCTTGGACCAGGCATGGCTGCCATGTGGATGTGCAGTAGCCTACTGATCTGGGCCATGGTTCCGAATTTTAAGTTCCTCCATGCCCTGGTCGTCGGCGCATGCGTGACCCCAACCGACCCCGTTCTATCCAACTCCATTGTTAAGGGCAAATTTGCCGATAAACATGTTCCCCGCGAGCTGCAGAGAATCATTATCGCTGAATCTGGCGCCAATGATGGCCTTGGCTACCCGTTCCTTTTCTTTGCCATTTATCTCCTCCAGTATACTGGGATGGGAAGCCAGAGCTATAGCGGTGGTGCGGGGAAGGCGATGGCGTTGTGGTTCTATGAGACCTGGGCATATACTATTCTGTTGAGCATAGTCTATGGAACTGTGGTTGGTTGGATTGCGAGGAAGCTGTTGCACTGGGCAGAGGAGAAGCGCTATGTTGACCGGGAGAGCTTTTTGGTGTTTGCCATTGCTCTTGCAGTGAGTTCATCTCGAAATCCCCCCCAAAAGGTGCTTTGCTAACCTCTCAAATAGCTGTTCATCGTGGGAACCTGTGGTTTGATTGGAACAGATGATCTTCTGGCCTGTTTCATTGCTGGAAATGTATTCACGCAAGAGTAGGTCACCTCGATGCAGGCTATGATATCATGAATGCTAACAAAGACAGTGACTGGTTCCGCCTTGAGACCATAGACGATTCCCTCCAACCAACAATCGATATGCTTCTTAACCTGTCTGTCTTTATGTGGTTTGGAGCGGTCTGCCCATGGTCATCCTTCCTGAACAACAGCGTGATTCCAATCAATCGGCTCATCTTCTTGGGAATATTGATCCTCCTAGTCCGCCGCCTCCCAATCGTCTTGGCCATGCACAAATGGATCCCGCAGATCGAGCTCGTCTCCCAGGCTGCATTCGTCGGCTTCTTCGGTCCCATCGGAGTGGGCGCTATCTTCTACCTGTCAATCAGCCGTGAATTCTTGCGCAAGATACAAGTCGATGGCGAGGTGCCAGGGGACGTAAAGCAAGTGATGGAGACTATCCAAGTTGTGGTCTGGTTTTTAGTAATCTGCAGTATTGTGAGTCTCCTCCCTAAATAACCTAACCTACATCCCTCCCATCTTAGTCACCTTCTGACCAAACCCAGGTTGTACATGGCCTCTCTGTCCCCATTGGAAAAGCTGGCTATCACCTCCCATCGACCATTTCCAGCGTCATCAGCACCAGTACATACGAGGGGCCCGAGCCGGTCCCCATCTCAAACATCAGCCACACCCACAGCACGGCCACACCTCTCACAACGGGGGAGGATGCGAGTTATCGCAGCCGCAAGCGTGGTTTCCGGGGTGCAAACCCCAGCTTGTCATTCTTTGGCATTGGTAGTTCGGTGATCCATCCTCGTCCTCGTTCACCGTTTCAGCAGCCCGGCGTCGGTCAGCCTGAGTCAGAGAGACCTGCCCACTTAGTTATTCAGCAGACCACAGGCGGGGATAACAAGACCTAGCCTTAATTGCACCTGGGATTTGATCGATCCGTACGGCTATGCTTCGCTTTGATTAGATTCATCCAATTGCTTGATTAGCAGAGCGAAGTGTTGCGTGGGTCATTATATCATTCCTCGTAAATTGCTAGCCGGGTCGAAATCGTGCTTGGTTCAAGCTGGAGCTGGTGTCATCTTTCAGTTGAACGGGCCACAGCGCGAGCTGATGGAGACATACGAGAAATTGGCGAGCATTGCACCATTCGTCATTCCGGATGCTCTTCAATCTTAAGCGATAGAGTCTCAATAACATGAGAGTACAAGAACTAGACAAATACAAGCAAGAGAGGTTGAACAAAGCTTTACCAGCATTCACAGTGCTATGCCTAGACCAGCATAGAATATGCCCTCGGAAAAATAGCAAATACAAGTGGTGTGCATTGGTATCAAATAATGTGTCCTAATCAAAGGAAACTTCATAACCTCGTCAAGGTGTGTTTGACCTGATGACCAAGATAACCGTTCCACCCATCCCCGAAGATTACCAGAGAGACTATATTCTCCGATCGAATTCATGTATTTTTTCTGGTTTTGTATTTGTCATTCCTTCGATATCATTACACGTCATACTAAAAAGCAAGATAATAACGCCGTTGATGGGTCCGTATCGAGATCATGAACTCATCGTGGCCCCGAGTTCATGAACTTGCAAAAGGCGAGAAATAAAACGCAATTTAAGAAAGGCTGGCGTGCAGTTCGCGAGCACGGCGAGCGAGGGGTGAAATAAGTCGCAGAATTGGGTCATGCGGGTTGCGCTCAACGACTGACATGTAAAGGGTATTGAGGCGCTGGCTCATGATGTCCAGAATACGAGGTGCAACTTCGCGGAGATCCGTGTCCTAAAAAGCCAGAGTTAGTAGAATATTACAAACATTTGAGATAGGATAATGACATACCCTGGGGTTCACATTTTGGAGAACCACCTCGAGCCAGTGGAGGCGCTGGCCAATGTTGGTCTGCATGGTAGTGGTGACAGCAACGGCCACAGAGAGCATGACGATGGCAGAAAGTCGAGACAAGTAGGCGGGAGATATGTGGACAAAGAAGTTGTCAAAAAGATCAGCTTGCTGGTTCGATTGGAGCCACTAAAAAATTTAACGTTAGTAAAAACACCGAATATATGGAAGTGATTGAAACCAACCTTGATAGTGCCCTGCTCATAGTGAGCCGTATTGATAAGCTGCACAATATCCCCCATTTCGATTTCCTCGGGGGATCGCGCGACAGGGGAAGCGACAGGAACCGGGACCGGGGCCTGGACCGGGATAGCCTGAGGCTGAAGCACAGGCTGAGACAAGGGCTGCGGCATGCGCACCTGATTCTCGCTTGGCTGTCTAGTCGAGTGCTTGTTGGCGTTCAATATCTCGCGGTGGGGGATCTCGTGCTGCGGGCTTTGGGTCTGCTGGAGTTGGTGGCCCTGATTCGCGGCCAGCAAAGAAACAGTATTGGACAAGCCACGCAGGAGGGCCGACATCTCCTCGATCTTTGCGGTATCACTCTGGCGTTGGGCCTCGTAGTAGTTAATCTGCTCCTGGAAGTGACGTTCCATATCCGACTCCACCTTCTTGGTGATACGTGCCAAACTCTCAATCATGGGGGCAATCGAAGACTGCATGACCCGGGTAACTTCCGCCTCAATGCGAGGTGCAAGTTTCTGTGCGACCGAATCCGAGACAGCCTTTACCACAGGTGCCTGCTGCATAGCATTGATGACAGCCTTGGGAAGAACCTGTCGCAACTCCTCATTGAACGCACCCCCAAGCTGTTGAGAGACAGCGCCATTCAGTTGCTTATTGACTGCTGCAGAGGTGGCATCGGCGATGACAGGAATAACATCGGTCTGGATACTGGCTGAGACAATACGTGCTAAGTTCTTCTCGACATTGTCAGAGAGCGTGCTAGAGACCAGGCGCAACACTTGGTCTTGCTTGGCCGACGAGGCAGCATCCCAGCTGCGACGTTCATCATCGAAGCGACGATGGAGGTTCTCAAACTCATGGCCAAGACTCTTGTTAAACTCGCTTGAAACACTGCCCTGCAGTGTCTGAATGTGTTTGCTGAAAGCTTCACTTGACAGACCGAAACCGGGCACTGCATGTTCGGCCGCCTGGGTGGCACCCATCGCCGTAGTAGACGAGGCAAGAGTCTGTAGTTCCTTGGCAGCGGCGGCGGGGACCGGCAGAGGTTCGACACCAGCAGTGAGAGATGGCTCCTTTGCCTTGGCAGCCTCGGCGGCAGCTGATGCCTTCTTCTTCTTCTTCTTTTCAGACTTCTCGACCACGGCAGGTGCCTCACTGATCTCCTCCTTCTTCTTAGCCAACTTGATAGGCGAAGCGTTACGCGAAGGAGCAACTCCAGAAGCCAATTCTCCAATCTCTGGCTTTTTCGCCGACTCCTTCGGACCAACGCGAGACTGGATAGAGGCGGTGTCACCGTTAAGAGATGGATCATCGGTGGCGTATGTGGGGAAAGTTTGAAGATCACTGATTTCAATCACGCCTTGCTCCAACGCATCAATAGGGCGAATAACCTTGTTATCCGCAGTCCAGCCCAAATCCTCCTTCTTGATATTCAAGCACGTCACACCGCGCGAGTGCATAACGTAGAGCTCAAATAGGGGGGTTTCCTCGGTGCCGCGCTTGTCAGTAGCGGACTTGGTAATAGGGAGAAGCTCCAAACTTCTCAGCTGACCCTTGGAACCGAGAGAGATCTCCCGAATTCCACTCAAGCAAGCAGTGGACTCGGGCTTAGGTAGGGTGTTATCCTTATCATTCAGGTCTCGGATGTAGGCTGCCTGTGACATCTGGGGCAAATTGTACCGAGGGGCCGAAAGATGAGCAAAGTAGATAGAGTTACGAGTGGGATGGCCAACGACAATGACACCCGATGACGGGTGATAAGCCACGCTGCAAATAGCATCGGACTCGTTCTCGTGCGGGAACTTCAACTCCTGCACGGCCTTGCCCAGCCCAATATCCCAGAGCTGCAAGGTGTGGTTTTGCTTGAGCCCAACCAAAACATAACGGAGCGCCATAGACCGCGAATAAGCGCGAAGCTTATCGAGGAAGAGGACCGAAGTGGGCCAGGACTTTTCGGTTGGGGAGCCAGTGACGAAGGTAGTCAAGGGCACCCGGATCTCGGCAGGAGCAGGGCCTTCCACAAAACTTGCGTCATTAAGCATATCATTTATATCCCAGAAGCGCAGTCGGCCGGTCTTGTCCAATGAGGCGATGACGGAATCATCATCGCTGAAGGCGAAGTCTTTGCCGGCTTTACCAGTGGAAATCTTCAATGCACGCTCCTTGAAGAATTTCTCGGTGTTAACTGTCCGCTGGGTACCAGAAACGCCGTAGGCAGGGCTCATTGCTGCCTTTGGGGAAACAACGTAGATGTTCTTGCCCCGACCAATGGCAAACAAGTTGGTGTGACGAGTACTCCGCTTGGCTCGCGTTTTCAGCTGGCCACCAGAGGTGTTCTCGTCCGAGGCCGGGAAAGGTGGGAAGATCAAGCTTTCGCTTTCCAAGGCATCCATATCAAAGAAATCCTTTCCAGAACGCGAGATCAAAGCCCAATATACAGAGCCGCTGACTCCAATGCCGAGAATTGCCTGGACTTCGGAGTCACCAGCCGCGGTAGGAGCTGTACACAGCGCAACGTTGAAGACTCGATCACGAGTGGAACGGAACACCTGTCGGTCACTACCATCGTCCTGTCGAATAATTCTGATGCCACCAGTTTTGGCGAGTGCGTACACAATATATTCGGACGTAGCCGCTGTCAGCGACCTGTCAAGTTGATCGAACTCCTTCTTTAGACGAGCAATATCCATGACATCGTCGTCACGGAAGGTCGTAAGTTTGCCAGACGTAGCTTTCACAGCAATGGAGATGAATGGCCTCATTGGGAAGTTGTAAACAGAGACAACTCGTTCCTCTTCCTTTTCGGCGCTGTCTTCCGCACTCTCCCAGCTGTCAGCTAGAGCCTCAGTGCTCTCGGTCACCTTCAGGGCAACTGGAACCGTGGGAGATTCTGTCTCCTTCACGAGCTCGTCAACCTGGGTCAAGCTTGCCGCTTCTTTAGCTTCAGCAGTAGTCTCGCGCAATTGACTAGCGATTGATGAAAGAAATGCTTCAGAGGATTTCTCCTGGGCAGTAGGCACAGCAGTCTTGACTTCCGTTGCAGCCCGAGGCTCATCGCCGCTGAGAGAGCGGCTGATCTCATCTACGAAACGACCAACTACCTCATGCACAGCCTCTCTCTGATCTTCATTCAAGATTGGCGACTGGGTCCCCTCCCGGGGGGCCGCAAGCTCGGGTGTTTGCGAAGGCTCCAGCTTAGTAGAAACATTGATCTTTTGCTTCTGCGTCACTTCAACAGCTGGGCTCTGGATACCAGAAGCGGACTGAGGAGACTTATTAACAGGAGAGATAGCGGCTAATTGGTCAAACGGGTTGACATAGGTGAACATTGAGTCCTTCGAGTTGGGCGATACGACCGTTTCTGGGTTCGCAGGCGCCCTTGGACTCTCATCCACAACTTCCATGAAGACATTCTTGGCTGTCTGGTTCTGATGTTCATCAACGGCAGCCTGCATATATGGTACCTGCTGAGTTGAAGCCAGCGCCGGTGATTCGGCGACAGCAGGACCTGGCCGAGAACGGTTGAGCAGGCGAAGTAACATATCCTGTGTATTCTCGTTAGGGCCCTCAGGCTGACCAGATTGGAAGGCCGGGGGAGGACCAGCAGGCGCAGCCGCAGGGGCGGCAGGGGCCTGTTGACCGAACAAAGTAGCAACTAAGTCAGACGCGGAAATATTTCGTCCGTGCGACGAAGGAGCTCCCTGGGCCGGCGGGGGCTGCAAGTGATCGGGAGCTGCAGCTGGGACCTGCGGCTGAGCAGAAGCACCGGGACGCTGGCTGAATCTCAGAAGATTCAAAAGGTCCACAGAGCCTGAGTTGGTATGC